AATCGACCATGGTGAATCAATTAACTTCGTTTGGCATTATTTCCTTGATTGATGCATTTGATAAATTCAGGTTGATGTTTTGATTTTGTTGATAATCTGTTATTTCGCTTTACGTCAATTAGCTGTCGGTCATGACACCATGTCAACAGTGTCAAACTTGTCATGCGCCAAACGCCGATTCGGATTGATATGTCCTTAGATCATCATCGTCGAACCAACAAGCCGAGTATGCGTGAAGAAAGGTGTGACGTCATTTTAGTCATCAATTCTGATTGGTTCAGATAGTCATCTGGGAAGAATCAAGTCTCTGGAGGGAGTAGCGATAACGTCTTTTATTTTGGATATTCAAATTTTCCGCCAATTTGAAAAGCGGAAACTGTTAAGTTGTTCTCGAAGTTTCTGGAAATTTGGAGAAGGGATTTCCTTTCTGGTCGTGAGACAAGAGCTCACTTCAGAAAATTCTTCGTGGTGGTCAAGTGCCATTTTTGTGGTGTGAACCGGCTTCTGAAGTCCTGTACCGCCTGGCGTTCTGGATCACATCAGGATATCCTGGATTTGCTGCTGATCTACAAGGACTGCTGGACTCTACAGATTTTTCTGGTTTTGGTTTAAGAGGCAGGATCTTCATGGTTCATCACCCAGGCAGCCACGTGCCTACCTTCATCGTCATTTCAATCCCTAACCCTTCATAGAAGGTGAGTCTCGCTTTATTTCCACGATTTTTCTCTCTGCAGTCCAGAAATTCAGAACCTCATTTTCATGAAATATTTAAGGGTTTTTTCACCGGGAGTTTTTCACCGGGAGTTTTCTACCGGAAGTTCTACAACGGGAGTTATCCTACCAGGAGCACTATTCTTCCCAGGAGTCATTGCTCGACCAGGATCTGTTAATTCTACAAGGCCTTTGGTGGCTAAATAGTAGTCTGGAATCTGGAATCTGGATATCGTCCCCTGCTTCTTCCTGATATGATGGATTTTCAAGGTGGAAATACGACAACTCTGTCAATGTCATCTGACATCCAGGGATGTGAAGTCAGCACCCCGCTCTCCGCCAACCTTTCCCGCAGCAGCTTCATCTGGTGGCACTAAAGCCATTTATCAAGGATAACTGGTGTAGGACACACCATACAGGTTTTTGATATAAAAATATATTTTTATTTTTCATTTTTATTCACTCATAATGCCCATTGCTAGTGTGTATAATGGACCATTTTTAAATCATAGCCAGGTCATAAATTGATGAAATCACACATGAAAGGTATATACTTCCCCTCCACATAGTATACTATGCGCTGGTAGAATTCTCCCATTTTCAATATTTTTTTAAATCTGCTATGACCATAAAACGTCCTTACAGGAGCTCTTGATTTTTCAAGTACAATATAAAGTTGATTTATATATATTTTCATCCACATAGTAGCAGGCAACAGTGTAGTTTCTGAACAGGAAATAGGTATCTAATATTTTTTTGATTATGCATATTTGTCAAAACCTGTGATGTGATATATGGTCCTATCATCATAATTAAATGTTTTGGGTATTGTATATGACTGTTTTATTTGTTTATTGACATGACACTCCAACTCACAACATCTCTAAGGTAAATTTAGGTCTTTTAGTCTGGGAGAACAACTAATATTATTCATTATCTGGTTGCTCAACTTTCCAGGTAACATTTCATTTGAAGTAAAAGTTGCAGTGGCGCCCCATCTTTTTTGTTTAACCTTATGATTGCTAGATAACTGAATTTTTGCTATTTTAACTCATTTTGATAACTCGAACCCATAGTGCCTACTGACGAAGAGCTGCCGTTCGCAATTGCACCTATTTTTCATAAAAGTAGGGCTGCAAAGATGACGTCCGAACGTGGGGGCCCGAGATTTTAGTTAGGTTATTAGTAATCAACAGTTGTGAGTGTCTTGTTGATGAATGAATAAAATTTATGGTTTGGAAACAGCTGATAGTTTGACGGAGAGCCAGGAGAGTTGTTTTTACCACATTTTGTTTTGGTAGGTAAAAAATTTATGGGTTTTTATGAACTGAATGGTGAGTATACACATATCAGGTTTCATAATATTTGAGAATCCAGTTTTTTGATTTGACATTTAATTAAATAAGCTGCTTCAGACAGTGCCTGAGATAATACTACGTACAGTGTTGCCACATTTAAATAATTTCCTTAGAAGTTGGAACAACAGTTTTGATATTTGATTTTGAACTGATTCAAAATGGATCAAAATTTTAAAGCTAATCACTTGCTGCAGGCTGAACTGAATTATGAGTTGAGAATTCGAGGTGTAATTTCTGAACGGAATCAAGATGAAAAACGTAAAATTCTTGGAAGACTTCTGTTTAAAGAAAAACAAAGTGGTACGAATGTAATGACTTTAGTTGATGAAGCTTATAACTTTGATACAGAGCGAGTAGAAATTCAGTCCACTTTAGATTCTATAAAATCACTTATTGAAGGTTTTGAAGGTCCTTCATCAGATTCTGTTTACAAAAGAGCAACCTCTAGAATAAATCATATCAGTTTTCGCATAAACAGAATTAAGTTACAGCGGGAAGATTCAAATTATAGGGACGTATTGAACTTTAAGAATGAAGCTTATGCTACAGCCCTGCAATTTGATGCTGAATTAAATGAAAATGTTCAGGATGATGTTAATGTCACTATTTCAACACCACAAGCTAGTCCTTCTACTACTGCTAACACTTTTAGTAATACAAATGTGAATTCTCATAAATCAGTTCCTGTCTATAAATTGAATATTCAATTTGATGGTGAACCAAAAAATCTCCTTTCATTTATAGAACGCATAGAAGAAGTAGCTCAGGCAAGGCATGTTAGTAAAGCTGAACTTTTTGAATCTGCTAGTGACTTATTCAGTGGTAAGGCTACATTTTGGTTCAGACAAATCAGAACACAAGTTAATAGTTGGGAAACTTTGGTCATAAAATTGAAGAAGGATTTTTTGATGTCAGACTTTGATGATGAAGTGTGGAACCAAATAAAATCACGAAAACAAGGAAGAAATGAACCTGTAGTAATTTTCATAGCTTGTATGGAAACTTTATTCAGTAGACTCAGTCGTGGAGCCGCAGAGCTCACAAAGGTTAAATATATTAAAATGGGACTACAGGGTGAATACCTTAAAAGACTTGCACTTAGTGATATTGATAGTGTTTCTACCTTGAGTACACTTTGTAAAAAGCTTGAAGAAGCTGATATTCTTAGCTTAGCATCTGGTTCACAGTCACATCACTATCAGAAACCTTTTCAATGTATGATTGATCCTGAGTTGACACATTTTTCAGATACCCTTTCTCAAACTTCTCGCAATGATCAGAATTTTCGGAGGAATTTTCAACCTCGAAAGCGAAATTTCAACATAAAGAAATCGAATAAAAATGTCAGTACAAATAAACAAGTTAATAATGTTACTAGTTCAAATGCAAATTCATCAAGTTCATCAGTATTATGTTGGAGGTGTTTACAACCAAACCATACTTTTAGGAACTGTAGAGCTACTGACAATATCATCAAGAAATTTTGTTTTAAATGCGGTTGTGCAGATGTAACTTCAAGGGAATGTACAAAATGTCAGGGAAACTAGTAAGGGAGGTGAAGTATTACGACTCTTGTTTCCCTCCATTATTTAAAAGAGTCAACCCAAGTTCAAGATCAAATTTTTTCAATCCCAAGGAATGGAATGATTGGAAAAATACCGTTAGAGATTTTTATAAAAATTATGTTTTCCATAAAAATTTGAATGTCGCACCCCTTTTTGTACAGAAGTCACGTGATAACAGACCATATATTTCTGTAAAAATTTTTGATCAGAAAGTAGTTTGTCTTTTGGACAGTGGTGCCAATGTTTCGGTTTGTGGTCAAAAATCAGTAGATTTACTGAAAAAACTTATTCTGAAATGGAATAAATCTTTTTTGAAACATGTGACAACAGTTGATGGAACTGGACGGGAAGTCAAGGGTGTTGTTGATCTACCAGTTTGTGTAGATAACATTGTTCAGGTTGTTCCTACTATAGTAGTGCCTTCACTGCCCCACTCAATTATTTTTGGAAGCGATTTTTGCAATCAGTTCAAGATCAAGATCGACTTCAAAAATAGGATTTGGAATGTGCATAGTGCAGTAACGCATAATTCTATACAGGTTGTCTCTAGTCATGTTAAAGAGATTGAAACTTCAGATTCAAGTAATTTGTCAGATTTATCTCCTTCAGAGAGTGTTCAAGCAGAACAAATTATAGAACACTTTAAGGAAATTAGCAGTGAAAGTCGTATTGGTCTTACAGATAAAATTAAAATGACAATTGACACTGGTGATTCAAAGCCATTTCGAGTTAAGCAGTACCTTATGTCACCATTTATGTTGAAAATTTTAAATAGAGAACTTGATGACATGCTCAAGTTAAAGGTGGTTGAACCATCTCAGAGTCCCTATAATAGTCCAGTCCTTTTAGTGAAAAAGTCATCCGGTGAGTACAGATTTTGTTTTGACGGGAGAAAACTCAATGAAGTAACTAAGCACGATAGCTATCCACTACCTCGCATAGACAGAATTTTGAATTTGCTCAGAGATGCAAAATACATCTCGAGTATTGATCTACGTAAAGCTTTTTGGCAAATCCCTTTGGATGTGTCGTCACGTGAGAAAACTTCATTCAGTGTGCCTGGTAGAGGATCTTTTCAATTCACAGTCATGCCATTTGGCTTATGTAATAGTGCTCAGACTCAGCAGAGGCTCTGTGACGCTCTATTTGGACCTAAGTTTGAACCACATATTTTCACATATCTGGATGATATAATTATTACTTCAAAAACTTTTGATGAACATGTATCACTTCTTGCTGAGGTGAAGAATATTTTAGAAAATGCAAATTTAACAGTGAACATTAAAAAATGTGAATTTTTTAAAACATCCCTCAAGTATCTTGGTTATGGTATGTCTCCATGCGTCTGTTGAAATAGACGTGTTTAGCACGGTGTGACATTTATGCCAGAATTTGTGGTAAATCGGCAACTAAAAAAGCTGATTTTTTGAGTGCAATCATAATTAGGGACTGTCAATCATCCATCAGTGTTTCAAACTTGTTGATGCATCAGAAGTTGCAGTAAGTGGAAATATTTTTTCATAATGAGCAGATCAACAAGGAAGGGTGAAGATGAACTGCACTCAACTATCAAAAGTGTAGTTATCAAGCTATGTAATTCTGAAGAATTCATAAATAGCATAACAGCCTCAATTACCGAAACAATAACTCAAAAATTTAACAAGGAAATTGAAAATCTAAGACGGGAGAACAAGGAATTGGTGAAAAAAGTGCAGAATCAAGATATTCTGTTACAATCGCTTGCTGAAAAGGAGGAGAAACATGAACAACATCTGAGAAGTCGAAATATCCGATTTTATGGCGTCAAAGAGGATGGAAATGAGAATTGTGCAGCAGCTATCCAAGAAATTTTGTCAAGTAAAATGAATATAGATATAGAAAGTTGGCATCTCGACAGCTGCTACAGAGTTGGGAAATATGTAAGAGATAAAAATAGGCCAATTATGGTGAGATTCTCAACATTATTTCATAAAAACATAGTATACCAAAACAAGAAAAAACTGAAAAGTACCGGCGTCATTGTTAAAGAAGACCTCACTGTCGAACAGATGAAAGTATTTAAAGCTGCTATTGCCAAAGTTGCCAACAATGGGAGAGTATGGACGAATTTCGGAAATATCTTCGCCAAATTCAATGGTGAAAATGACTTGATAAAATTAAAATGTTTCGATGATGTACATAATATGTGAAACCAAATTGTAATACTACCTCCCATTTTATTTTACGATTCAGGTAACAAATATTTAGGAATATATCATTGTTTTCAATTTTCCAAGGATCATTTTTCACTATTTCATATCTATTACGATTTATATACCTACATTTTTAAATATTTTCTAATCATGGTTAAGTGAGCCGAATACGAAAATATGTGAAGATGTCACGCTATGTGCAATTGACCCGAACCCGTATTCAATTTATTTGAAATTTCTTCTCACTATTTTTTTTTTTGTATTATCTCTTTTGTCGTGATAAGGATAACAAAGAAACTTGTACTTATTTTATTTTGGGAATATAAAACATTCACATTTTCAACGCTATAATAAACTCATGAACTCAATAAAAGTAGGTTTCATCAATGTTAGGTCATTATTACCATCTCTCCAAGAAGTTAAATTGTTGATATCTGATAATAGTTTTGATTTGCTTCTGATTTGTGAGACGTGGCTCAGAAACGATATTTCTGATGCGGTAGTCAGCATAGATGGGTTCAAATTATATAGAAATGATCGTGAAACTAGGGGAGGAGGCCTTTGTATATATTGTAAAAATACTATTAAAAGTCAGCGAATGAATGATACTGATAATAATGATAATACTGAACAACTCTGGATTAAAATTATAATTGGAAAAAAGAATGTTGCCATTGGTAATACATATAGACCTCCTCGTCAGGATATAAACCAATTTTTAAACGACTTTGAAGATACTCTCAGTATAATCTGCCCTTCTGTTGACGAATTAATATGTTGTGGGGATCTGAATATCAATCTTTTAGAAGAGAATTCTAGTAATGTGAAAAAACTTGTTTCGATCATAGAGTCGTTTGAATTATTTCAAGTTGTGGACAGTCCTACTAGAATAACAGATACATCAAATACGCTGTTGGATGTTATCATTACTAATATGAATGAATATGTAACAGAGAAGGGTGTAGTTGATTCTAATGGAATATCTGATCATTTGCTTGTGTACTGTGTGTTCAAAGTTAGCAGTAACGAACAGAGTTCTAGATTTCATACATACAGAAGCTTCAAAAATTTCAATGATGAACTATTTCAAAGGGATCTGTTCAATACCCCATTTTTTGGAATTTTTGATCAAGAAAACGTGGATGAAAAGGTATCTCTATTGGTGAATTACTTGCTCAATATATTAGATAGGCATGCACCTATTGTAACTTCTAGAATAACTAAACCAAGAGCTCCGTGGTTGACAGACACTTTGAGAGACATGATGACTTTGCGAGATAATGCACTCAAAAAATATAAAAGAACGAAATCTGATAATCATTTTCAATTCTATAAAAATATGCGCAACTATGTGAATAAAGCTATAATAAGAGAAAAGAGGGCATATTTTGTGCAGCAATTCAATACCACTGATAAGAAGAAAATGTGGAAAACTCTTAAAAACAATAAAATGGTTGCTGATAAGTCGAGAGATTTGCCGAATGACCTCAAAAAAGTAGATGAAATTAATGATTTCTTAGTTAACAATATTCCACTGAGGTCGCCACCTCAAGAACTTCTAAGTTTTTATGAAACCAACAGATTGACCGATTCTGAATTTGTTTTCGAAGAGATAAATGACCTTTTTGTATATGAAACAATCTGTGGAATCAGAACTAATGCTATTGGGTGCGACTATTTAAATATAAAACTAATAAAATTATGTTGTCCTCATATAGTACCATATATCACCCATATAATAAATTTCTGCTTAACAAAAAATATATTTCCTGAAGCGTGGAAAAGAGCAGTGGTTAAAGTTATTCCAAAAATCCAAAATCCAATTGCATATAAAGATCTGAGAGGCTTGAGTATTCTCCCTGTGCTTTCCAAAGTACTGGAGCGAGCAATAGACTTTCAACTACGGAAACACCTTTCAGACTTTTCACTGTTACCTTCGATACAATCTGGATTTCGTAAAGGGTATAGTTGCACGACTGCTCTACTCCACGTTGTAGATGATATCTGCAGAGCTACTGACCAAGGCTTATGCACAGCTTTAGTTTTACTTGACTTCAGTAGGGCCTTCGACACCATCAATTATAATCTGATGCTCGCAATTTTTCACTATCTGGGACTTTCGCAAAATTCAATAAATTTGCTGAGGTCATATCTCTCAAATAGGCAACAAAAAGTGGTTATAGGTGATGCTAGCTCTACTTATCTGACTCTGAAATCTGGAGTGCCCCAAGGATCCATCTTAGGGCCTCTTCTATTCACAATGTATACGGCTCACTTGGTTAAATGCTTACAACATTGCTCTGTCCATCTTTACGCAGATGATACACAACTTTATTATAGTTTTCATCATCAAAACATTGCCAATGCCTGTATTTTCATCAATAGTGATATCGATTCTTTTGTAAAATCTGCAACCGATCACTGCTTACTCATAAATCCAAGTAAGTCAAATATGATAATATTCACTACTAAAAATGAACGTCGAATTGCAGATGATATTGATATAAGAATTCACAATGAGTCACTCGCTTCAGTTAATGAAGCGAAAAGTCTTGGTGTTCTACTTGATGTGGATCTGAGGTTTGAAAAACATGTCAATAAACTGATACAACGTGCATATTCATCCTTAAAACTCATATATGGCAATCGAAATTTTTTAACAACCGCAGTAAAAATCATATTGACTGAATCACTTGTTTTATCCTTATTCAACTATGCCGACACCCTATATGGCCCTAATTTGACATATACATATAAAAACAAAATTCAAAAAGTACAAAACTCTTGTCTACGATTGATTTATGGGATCAGAAAGCGTGAAAGAATTTCACATAAGCTACGCCAGGCAGGCTGGTTGAATATGGAAAACAGAAGACTTCTTCACGATGCTTGTTTATTCCATAAAATTCTCACAACAAAAATGCCATCTTATTTGCATCGGAAAGTTACTCACAGAACGGATGTCCACAACTTGAATATCAGATTCAAAGGTACTCTCACACCACCTTTTTTCAGAACACAAAAGTTTACACGTTCATTTAGCTATCGAATCACTAAAGTCTACAATTTCATCCCCCATCATATTAAAAAAGATAAGCTCAATGTATTCAAAGTAAAACTGAAGAAATACTTATTTGAGAATAATCAATGAGAAATTGTAACTGATTTTATTTCCCAATTTTCTTTTCTTTTTTAATTTATTATCATAGTACCTTATTCATCGATATAGATACACATTTATATATATATATATTCTTTTTATTTATGTTTTTACGATCGGTTATTTTGTTTGTATTCTTAAATAGACCTTCGGAGACATTTTTTGGGTTAAGTGGAAGAACAACTCATTTAGTGGAGTTTTCGCTGAATGAGCTGAACTTCGCCCTTTATTTTCACATAATTCTAATTGTTATTTCAATCATTGTAATTATTGTGTTGAAAATAAAAAAGACCTTTATTATTATTATTATTATTATTATTATGTTATTGATAGAGAAGGACTCCGCACAGATACTGATAAAGTAGCAGTCATGGTCAATTATTCTCGCCCTACTACCAGCACTGAAATCAAACGTTTTATCGGAATGTGTTCATGGTATAGAAGATTCATCGCAAATTTTTCAAGTTTGATAGCACCTATCTCAGGCCTCCTCAAAGGGAAAAAGAAGGGGCAACCAATAACTTGGTCTCCAGAGGCGGAAGATGCTTTCATCCGTGTTAAAAATGCTTTGATATCGTCTCCTATACTAAGTTCACCAGACTTTGATCAACCTTTTGTAATACAGTGTGATGCCAGTGATTATGGTATTGGAGGTGTTTTGACTCAGAATATTGATTCACAAGAAAGAGTTATAGCTTATGCTTCTCGTTCCTTATCTCGTGCAGAACGTAATTATACTGTGACGGAAAGAGAACTTCTCAGTTTGATATTTGTGATAGATAAATTTCGACCTTATGTAGAAGGCACAAAATTCAAAGTAATCACTGACCACAGTAGCCTTTTGTGGATCAACAATCTCAAGGATCCTTGTGGAAGACTTGCTAGGTGGGCTGTGAAGCTCAGACAACATAATTTTGAACTAATACACAAGCCCGGAGCTTCAAATGTCTTACCTGATTTTTTGTCTAGAATTCCTCCTAGTGATTTGCCTGATGATAACCAAGAAATTTTGTTGATAGACATAAAGGCCGAAATATCTGATTCATGGTACACTTCACTTAAGAGGAGAATTTTAGAGAAACCGGAACTGTTTCCACAATGGAAAGTTTCAGGAAATTTGCTTTTCAAATTTATTCCCTCAAAGGGCATAATTCAAACTAATGAAAAAGAATGGAAGACCGTTGTTCCTAAGTCCCAAAGGAACGATGTTATTAGAAACTCTCATGATCCACCTACATGTTCACATTTTGGTTTTTACAAAACTTTTAGTAGAATTCAGGAAAATTATTATTGGCCAAAGATGCGCCCTGATATTTTGAGAAACATTCGTCAATGTAAAGTTTGTCAATCACAAAAGTTAACTAACACATCACGTTTAGGTTTAATGGGCTGTGAAAAGCAGGTAAACTTTCCTTTTCAAGTCCTAGCTGTCGATCTTATGGGACCATTTCCTCGATCACCCCGTGGATTTACATATTTACTCGTAATTGGAGACTGGTTTTCGAAATATACCATTCTATGTCCCCTAAGAGACGCGACAGCACCAAACATAGTTAAATTTCTAGAAAATCAAGTGTTTTTAGTATACGGTGTACCTCAGATTATCATTGCGGACAATGGTACCCAATTTGCAGGAAAAATCTTTAAAAAATTAACAGATACGTATAAAGTAAAAATTTGGTTTACGCCTCGCTATTCAGCGCAGTGCAACTTTGTTGAACGTAATAACAAGACAGTTGGACAAGCAATACGTAGCTATATAGTTGAACATAAGGATTGGGACAAAGAGTTATCTAAGATTCAATTTGCTATTAATACATCTGTACATGAAGTGCATAATTATGCCCCAGCATTTTTGAATTTTGCTAGAAATATTCCTCACTCAGGTAACTATTATAGTAATATATCTGATACAGTAGGGATAGAGTTAAATCCTCAAAGTAGATCTGAGTTTGTGGAAAATATTTCTAATTTAGATACAATTTTTAAAGAAGTTAAGAATAAATTGCATCAGGCTTACCAACGAAATTTGAGAAAGAAAAATTATTCTTTTAATATTGGAGATAAAGTTTGGCGTCGAAACAAGGTACTTTCAGAAGCTGCAGTAAAATTTAGTTCAAAACTAGCACCCAAATATGTTTTGTGTGTAGTTAAAAGAAAGGTTTCACGTTTAGTTTATTCTCTGGAATATGAGAATGGTAGTCCAGCAGGAGACTGGCATATTAAGGATTTGAAACCTTATTTTGGGTCTAACTCGGACATTTCTGTCGGTTAGTTTTTTGAGATTTTTTGAGATATATTTTCGAATTTTTTTGAAAATTTTTTTGCAAGTTTTTTGGAACTTTTTGGTAGCTACCGTGAATATGGAAGTTCACAAAACCACCCTTGGAATGTTCTAAATTGTGACATTCAGTATTTTGTATTTAGCATTTCGAATTTTTTGAAATTTGAAAATTTAGCCCCTGAATTGAAACTGTCAGATTGCAACAGTTTTCAATTTTTTTCATTGCTGACGAGTAATGAGATTTTTTTCTTTTCGTACAGTATTTAGAGTTAGTTATGTAAATATTATGTAAATATCTCTGTTCCGGATAATTTTGGATAGACTTTCCCGATTTTGTAAATTTACTCGATTATGAATTCCACCGACTTAGACTTCCCGATCGTGACCTCCCTTAGGATGTTTAGTACGCATAGCTACTACCCCAAGTTAATCCCTGAATAGAGGTATGCATTTGATCTTCATGGTCATATTTTTTTGGGGTAAAGGTTGGTTATCCCTGGATTATTCCTAAAGCTACCTGAACTTGGACATGTTCCCAACTAGTGTTATCACGACAGTAACACCGCTGTTATTTATTTCCACTGCGTTATGTGGACAGACATAACCAGTGATGGTCCAATTACTGTTCCATTTCTTTTTCGGTTGGGCTAAGAGCTGGTTATCCCTGGAATTGTTCCTAAAGCTACCTGGACTTGGACATGTTCCCAGCTAGTGATTCTATCACGGCAGTAACATCGCTGTTTTTCATTTTTGCCACTGGTTATGTGGACAGTCATAACCTGTGATGGTCCATGCACTGCTCCACCTTAGAGTTTTGGAAGTGATCAGCACTTTTGATGCTGATACTTCACATTTGCTGTGGGATATTATTTTCAATTTTGATACTTACATTTCCCACAGTATTTTTGAGTAAATTTTGAAAAGCCAAGAGCTATTTTTTGTCTGTAGGGACCTTGGAAGCGTAGGGGTCGTGGACAACGTGATGTGGGTCGTCATAGTTGTCTCATGACAGGTTGGGCTGACGAGATATATGTCTTGTTGAATTTTTGTTTAGGCGGGTTCAATGGGCATATTTCTCGAAAGTACCGCTCTTTTGTTTTCGCACTTGAGTAGTCTCTAGGGACGACCTAACTCTACGTGAATGGGAATACTCCCGAACGTTTTTTGTTGAATCTTTTTGTTTCAGGTTTGGCCTGTTTAAGGTTGGTGGCCGTATGTCACCCCAGTTGAACGGTGGACAGCTGGTTAAATCAAAATTTTAAATTTTAAACTTTCTTTTTTGTTTCCACCTTGGGATTCTTTAGTGAGTTGCCTTCGTTCTTTTAGGAGTTGACATCTCACTGAATGATTCTAAATGCAATTTCAATATTTGGATACTGATATTCGTCTCGGTGATCTGAAGTACTTATCCCTCTGTATCCATTGTTGATATTGTAATTTTTTTGAAAATTTAAATCAATCCAGATTCAAATTTTTTCTTGGGAGAGAGGTGATGTAGCATGTAAATTTTCATTACTGTATATTTTGTCTGATTCTATAATATTCTGTAATGCTGAGCACATCTGACAGGATATTTTGTCACAATAACATGGTTAACATTTTTCAATAACATAAATTGAACTCAATCTGTTTTATATTATTTAATTATTCTCAAACCTGATATGTGGATACACACCTGAGATTTCACACTGTACATAAAATAAAAATACAATTTCTATAAATACACTGATATCTCTTGCTATATCTGCTTTGTTGTGATCCAAGTAGAAGGATGATTCGGATGGTTTTTACAGAAACTTATCTGAAAGAGATAAATAATATA